TACAGCTTAGATAGAACTTCTGGTTATATAAACGGCATTCTAGATATTAATGCAAATAAATTAAGTGTAGTAGTGTGATTTGATTTGTGTAAATCTGTAAATTTCAGTATTGGGTGTTGTTAAGTTATGTACTTTATGAATGAGCAATGGTGTTAAATTGCCCCAATTCTAAAAAATTACCCAAATAAGTGTATGTACTATTTGATAATTGAAATAAGCTAAGAATTAATTTTTTAAAATAAATCCTGTTATCAATAGGTAGACATTATAAATTCATATTAATTACTCATTGATAATTTTAAAACAAGATTATATTATGATTTAAACTCTCTGCTAATGTTTTTCTTAAATGTTTATAATTTATCTGGATATGAAATAAATATCATTTGAAGGACTAATTTATTATTTTTAATTAAAATTGCAATTTGTATTATTTTGAATGCATGAATGAATAACATTACTTTTCAAGCATCATTCTACTACAATAAATTCTTAGATTCATCAATGAGGATTCTAAACTTTTATATGCCATTTTCTACTTCAACAATGTATAGAATACATAACAAATTAAAATGAAAATAAAAATGCCTTACCTTTCTTTTGTTTTGCTTATTGTTAATTTTTGGAGCACAAAAAGTTTTTAAAATGATTCCATGTCTCTTTGGAAAGTGGATTATAAAATTTCAGAATGATACTTTTTCCTAGAATAATTTAAGAATTTAATTATTAAGAATAGAAGAGTTCAAGATGATTAATTAATTAATTAAATATTAAAATAAATTTCTAATATAAATCATTTATTGTTTCATTCAAAAGAATATAAGACAATATGCAAGCGAATATTATTTATAATCTGATAATTTAATTCGATGCTAAGTGGAAAAAACGTTAAAATATTTTTAATGAAAATTTACGATTTTTATACTTAATATTCTATCGACAATTATTCCATTTTGATCGCTTATAAATCAAAAAATTTACATTGCCTGCGTTATTCGGGTTTATGTAATTCAACATTTACGAAAAATCTCAAAATGAAGGGAAAAATAACTGGCAATTTCCAGAAAACTTTCTATTTCAAGATGGCGTCGGCAATACGAAATCGAACGAATTCGAATCGGTGGAACGTGCGATAAATGCGTCACACGTTACGTCATATGTTCTACATCAGAATATTAACTAATTGCAAATGTTTTCTTTAAAACGCTAAAATAGTTTCCCTTTTTTGTAAAATATATTTGTAATAATAAAGTTATAAAATCGCATTCCGTAACCTTACAGGTTACAGGCCGCAAATCTAGGTTTAAAGCGTATGTAATTTAAATTATTTAATTTTGATATAAATCGAAAAATATTAAGTTACCTACGTTACGCGAGTTTTCATTATTAAAATTTGTGCGAAAAATGTCAAAATGGAGGGAAAAAGAACTCGCAATCTCCGGAAAACATTCTATTCCAAGATGGCGTCGGCAACAATACGAAATGGAACGAATTCGAATTTGTCGTTGCAATGCGTCACGCGTTACGTCACGAGTTTTACGTCATGGATGTAATATTTCAAGTATTTTAATAGCATTTTTTAAAGGAAAGATTTCTTTTTAACAAATTCTTTTGTCTCGGATTTGGCAAAATATTTGTTAAATGTAAAACTTCGCTTAAAAGAAAATGTACTGTATTCGGATAAACGTAATAAAATCACCTAACTGGCACACAATAAAAATAATTTCTAATAAAATACGTGTTAGCATTTATTTTCTCGATTCTAATGCGCATCTATTTTGATCTTTAAGATTGGGATGTGCATTATAAGCCAGCACAAAGTAGACTTAAATTTTTCTTCAATCATTTTCTTGTATTCGCAATTTGATAAACAGATTATTTTTTGCATTTACATGGTGCAGAATGTCTACCGTGGAGAGGTAAAAGACGATTATCTTAAATTCTACGTCTCGAAGCTTGACCATCTCCGAAAATCGTTTGAATAAATATCTTTTTTGTCCATTTTCGGCCATGGTATGAAGTAAATAAAATTCTTAAGATTTCGATTTATTTTGTCCAATATTATTTCGCTTTTCGGAGAGATTCGTATTAAATTAATGAAACTTCAAACTATATAAAGTTAATATTTAAAACACGAAAAATCCTTTACAATACGGCCGAACGAAAATGAAGTTGGAGACAACACTGAAACCGATAGAGAAGAAACAGATTAAGAGGAACGACCATTCTTTCTCCTTGAATTTATGACTTTTTAAAGGATCTCTCCCCTAAAGTCTTAATTCGATCGGTTAATCAATTTGACCCTTCCGTTCGACTTTGTCCGCGAGTGTCGATCCAACTTTGAAACTTTCGCTCGTATCTCATGCCATGATATTTTCTTTTCTGACTGCTAAAAATTTTTTTTTGTCTTCATTACTTACAACGTGAGTTTTGTTTTCAAAGGAATGTTACATTTATATCCAAATTTTGTCATGTCTACGAGGTCAGTGTCAAAGCTCGATTTTTTCGATTGACATTCTAAACATTCCGTTAGTTACGCAATTTGAAAAATTCCCACTGTCGTCGGTCGGTCCGAGAATGGAATTAGATGAAATCCGAGACCAGATATGGAAACCTTAGTGACAGAAGGCTCCAATTAACTATACATAAACTTCGGATGCAAGCCGGAAGTCACGGTTTTTCAATTCAAAACTCCCCCGAAAGCAGTTAATAGATGACTGGCACGACTCTATTATCACAGGAAAAGTATGATGTACACGGGTATGACACTACTAATTTGAGGTGGAGAGCTTATATTTCAAATTAAAAGATTTAAAAATATGATTAAAAATTGCAGCCCGGCATTGTGACAATGTCGCAATAAATAATTGTTCGTACTTATAGTTTGTTTCTGAAAACTTTGGTTTCAACTTGTGAAAATATTTACAATGAAAAAGCACATTTCGACCTTTGTCATGTTATGAACTACAGTATTGAAGTTAAAATCTTTCCAAGAGGTAATAAGGAGTTAATAAATGTGGAAAATGGAAGAAGCGTTGCATTTACCCATGAAAAATAGACAAAGAAAACATGCATATCTGATGTGCAAATGCGACGCTTCTTCCATTTCTCACAATTATTAATTCTCCTTCTTTTCCTTTACAGAAATCAATTTTTGGTTGAAACCCTTTCTTCTCTTCTCTAACCTCCACATAGAACTTTCTTATTTCATTAGTTCTTCTATTTTCTTCCATTTCTTTTAGCTTTGTATTTAGCCATTCTCTCTTTTTCTTCCTACACAATTTAGATGCCAGTCTTCTCTTTTCTTTGAAGTCTTCAATATTATTTTCAGATTCATCTTTAACTTCGCATTTCTTCTTTCTTCTAATGCATCTCTACAATCCATATCAAACCAGCTATTTCTCCTTCTTTTTCTACTACTTCCAAGTACTTCTGCTTACCTCTAGTCAAATTATTTAATTTCTAATATTTAATTATAGCCTTTACATAACCCAAGAATTTGGTACAGTAATACCTCGACTTACGCTACCCCGGCTTACGCGAACACGGAGTTACGCGATTTTCAAATCTCGTGGATTCGTCTTTTGTTTGAGCGCCACGCAACTCTTGATAACTCACTCCCCCCACACTTGTTCAGCTTACATGTTCGGACGTGTCGCGCAGAATCGACACACAGCTACAATTTATTTTGTGTTATTTATTTCTGTGTTTGTTATATCTACGGAGACAGGGCCGGCCATCGGGGGGTGCGGCGGATGCTGTGCACCGGGGACCCGCGATTGAGGGGGCCCTAACATTGTCAAGAATGCACAAGAAAACTCGACAATATTCCTATCGTTGTCAGTATGACGAAAAGTACATTTTATCGTAAACATTATTATTGTAATCTCTGAATTTCGACAATCTTCAAACTAATTCTCGGTGATGCGAATGTTTAGTTTTTGTTATTTGATTCGGGAAACTCCCGAG